CCTATCAGTCCCAAGGGCCTGTCTGCCATACTGAAACGGAGAGGATTACGTCACAGGGGAACTTCTTCTTCTTCTTGTTTTATGGCGGGGGGGGTCCAAAGTTAAAGACCATTATCAACACTATCCAGTTCCTGACTGTTCTTGACTTGTTTGGACACTGAGATCATTTCTAACCTCCTCCCATGTCAGTCCTCTGATATCTAGATGCTGGACTGCTGCTTTTACAATAATTTGTATTCTCTCTGTTTTAGACTTGATCCCCATTGTAGCATTGATTACTCCTGCTATGAATGTGACTAGTTTCTTAATGTCAACCATCACCTTCTCTTCATTTGCCTGATCTGAATCCTTATCGAGTTGTTTACCTGTACTGCTTCTTTCTCCATTTCCTCCTCTCTGACTTACTATCCTCACAGCCTCTGCATATGTCACCTTACCCTGAATCCTCGCCTGTTGTATTTCTTTTTCCCGTTTCAGTACTTCACAGCCACCATAAGCCACACTATGATTTCCACCACAGTTACAACATCTGGGTTGCTCCATGTGACCACACTGCTCATAATCATGATCTTCTCCACATCTAGCACATCTTCTTCTGCCTTTGCAGGTTTTGGCTGTATGACCAAATCTTTGACAGTTGTAACATCTCATTGGCTTTGGTACATATTCTCTTACATTATAACTCATAAAGCCTAGAGTTACTTTTTTGGGAAGCACTTCATCTTCAAATTCAACCATGATAGACTCGCTGTCTAGCCTTACTCCCTCACGAGTTACCTGCAGCCTCCGAACACCCTTCACACTTACTCCCTTTAAGTTTGCCTTGATTTCATCCATAGTAACGCTGACTGGCACTCCCCAGATCACTCCTTTACACCATTTAGTTCCTCTTTCAATATAATTTACACTCACCACTTTATTCCTCCCTATTTCTTTCATCCTACCAGCCCGCTGTCTCTGTTCCTCGCTTCTACAAACAATCAACAAATTGCCATCTCTCAACACCTTTGCCATATTAATATCACCGACCTGATTTTTTAAAACGGTTGTTAACTTTACCGGACTCATTGACAAAATTCCCTTCTCCTCCGCAAATCTCAATATAATTTTGAAGTCGCCATCTGCCTTCTCTCTTTCCTCGTTTCTTTCTCCAACACCTCCACTGCCTCTTATTTTCTTCGACCCGACTCCTGCTAAATCATCTCCTCTCTTTTCCTTCATTCTCACACTTCCTTGGCTTATATCCATACTATCGTCACTATCTCCTATTTCAGACTCTCCCCACTCTGGTCCATTCACAGCATAGTTGTGCCGACCCGCCACAACTTTCTTCCATTCACTATTCTTTTTCATTTTAGTAAAGCCTCGTATTCGACTGTCAACAGACAATCGTATCCTTTTCTCAGGATCATCTGACAGATCACATTTCTTGGTTTGATGTCCCGATGAAGTTTTCACCATATAAGAAAACTGCTGGTTTTTCAAGCGACCCCGGTCAGACTCCCTCGCGTTCCCCGACCGCTCTCGCTTCCGTCACAGGGGAACGTGGCGTTCAAATCAGATTTAAAGTGTATCGCCCCCCAATGGATCGGCTCTCCATTGTCATGTCCGTATATCCTCTCGAAATGTATTTGGATATGTACTGTATGTATGGGTAGTTGTAGCTATTGGGAAAGCCACGGCGACTCTTTTATTAAATGTAATAAATTACCCGTGGGTTTAGAACATGCAGACAAAACAATACAACTCAATATGCAAAATTTGCATAAATGTATATGGTTGGAGAACCGGCTACTGTTATCCAAACAAAATAGGATATATATTTTTGGCGGAGAGCCACTCACCTCTTGTATTAATCTCTGTTAGATTTAGAGCAGTCGATCTTTTCTACAAATCCAGTTTAGATTAAAACTTCAGTGTTTTAACTGACACATCTAGACCCTCTGCAGGATTTTTGTATGGGAAAACATTACATTTTATTGTTAATTAGATTTAATTACATTTTAAAAATTAGATTTAATTTCGTTCATTTTTATAATTGTTATATTTCATTTTATAGGCTACCATACAATTTAAGCGCATTCTATAAATTTGAATTACACACAGAGAATGTAATATCTTGGCCTTCATTTCACTAAAATGAAAAAGTTTGGGGTCAGTAAGGTTTTTTTTTATTTTTTTTTAAGAAATCACTTTTATTCACTTTTATTTTATTTTAACGGTATTATTTTTACTCTCCCCAACTAAAAATGTATACAGAAGAGCATTAAAATACTGTAAATTACTTTCAGAGATCCGTTAAACCTGATTTTCATAAACAAAATCTGGATTTATTCATTTTTTACAATCATGTCAGAGTTAAACATACATATTATAGATCAAGTTGCCTCTCACATTAGCAGTTACCAATCAATGAGGAAAAAAGTATTACGTAATGCCTGAAGGTTCAGAGTTCTGTTTAAAGGGACAGAAAAGTTAGAGAGTGTGTGTTCAGGAAACAAGAACTTCTGAAAACAAGTGTTTGTTTTCAAATACAGTCCAGTAGAAACAAATGTGGTGAAAGAAGAATGAGATTTTCAAAACGCATATATTGGAATCTGTGAAGGTGCAAGAGAAAAGTAAATATAGAAAATTCTGCTTGAATTGTGTACTCCAGTTCTGTCCATTAGAATGATGAATGAATGCCATGACAAGTGGCCTAAACGATCTCTTAGGTCCACCGTTGTACCGTAAACACATGGTCAGTGTGCTCTTGTTATGTCAGTAAGGCAGAGGAGTGCTGTATTCCCTACAATCTCCTCCATGCTGTCCGTTACCTGAACTGCATGTCATATAAAGCTGGAACCAGTCCCATAACTGCATGCATAGATATTAATGTTGAGATCATGCATCAACGCTCATCTCAATGACTCGGATTAGTCTCAGTGCTCCCAGTTTACGCAATTCTTCAAAAATAGTGGCGAGTCTGTACATGGCTGAGGTTAAGGTCACGTGTGAGACACTATGAGAATCTTTTTTGTTCTTGAATAATCAGACAAGAAAAATAATGTATGATAAGTATTTCTTCATGCCGGATTGATCTCTGACCTACTGCTCTTTAAGGGATGATGAATGTAGCAAAACAAAGCATTCACTGTGAGGTCATAACCTGGTGAAACATCATAGAATTAAAGGGATAGTTCACCCAAAAATGTCAATTCTGCCATCATTTACTCATGCTGTTTTAAATGTGTATGGCTTTAATAGTTCTTAGTCAGGGTAGCACTGTATTTAATTTTTGACAGGAATGAAAACGAGTCTTGAGGGATGGAAGTACAGTGTGTTCAATAGATTGAACTGTTGTTTAACAATATACCGATTGTTCAGCTAATGAAACGTCTTTCTGAAAAAAAAAAAAACCTTTAGAAGACAAAAACACCATAAAACAGTTTTGAAAGTTGCGAGTTGTGAAAATTACATGATCTAGGACCATTGTGAAGACTGCAAGGCTGGTCCTCACAGTCTCATTTTCAACTGTTTTAAATTTAAAGAGATAGCTCACCCAAAAATGAAAATTACCCTATGATTTACTCACCCTCAAGCCATTGTAGGTGTTGATTTTCTGATGGATATGACTTTCTTCTTTAAGACAAACATAAATGAATTATATTAAAAATGTCTTGGCTCTTCCAAGCTTTATAATGTCATTAATTTGTAGCTTCTGCTGCGCATTCATGAAAGAGTGGTGTTCCTGCGGATAACGTAGTTGTAGTGTAAGCTCCAGTGAGAATATGCTAGTCTCATGAGAAGTTTTGTTTACAGCAAAGGAAACCCAGTCTTCTCTTGGCTTATATCAAAATCCATAATTTTTCTATAGAAATCTGTTTTGTTCTTATAATTTGTGACCATGTTTTGTTTTGCACTCTCCTCTGTGCTTTATTAACCCCCGGAGCTGTGTGGAGCACTTTTTATGATGGATGGATGCACATTTTTGGCCTTCAAAATCTCGACCACCATTCACTGCCATTATGAAGCTTGGAAGAGCCAGGACATTTTTTAATATAACTCCAATTGTATTCGTCTGAAAGAAGAAAGTCATATACACATTGGATAGCTTGAGGGTGAGTATATCATGGGGTAGTTTTAATTTTTGGGTGAACTATCCTTTAATATGGCGTCTAACCTGATTAAGGTCTATAGGGTCTGATATGCTGTTTTGGACCCCATTGACATTGTATGGGCCACAGAGACATTTTCTAAAATATCTTTTGTGTTCCACAGATGAAAGAAAATGGACAATTTTAACAGACTGTGATGATACATTTCCACAGCTAATCAATCAACATAATTTTTTTTTCTGTTTTGGAAAGTCAGAAAAACTATCATGGAGTTTTTCTTATGCTATTGGGGAAATGGGAATGCAAAAATTATATTTGTTGTTGTTTCCATTCACCACTAAATAGAAGCTTCTACAACTATGAATACTTCTGCTTTTGGAGAACCCTACACTGTATAAAAAAAGAAAAGGAAAATGTTTTGGTAATTGTCCAGTAATTTTACAGACATTTACATTACCTCTAAAACACAATGCAATGTAGTGCAAAATTCAAACTACGGGTAAAACACCTGTATAACATTGTGCCATATTTTTACTGATTTCTTTAACAGTGTAGAAAATGTGAAAAATGTCCATCATACAGGTTTGGAAGGACATAAATTACCATTTTTGAGTGAAATATCCTTTTAAATCTCAACTAATTGAGAGTCTCATTTGGGGAGAAGATATAGACTACTTTTGACCCTCTTGTTTGTTTGCAGTTAGACTGATGCACATGCTGAATGAAGAGATGGGCTGCAAGGCAAAGAGGCTGAGGATCAGAGAGAAGAGCATATGAATAGCCTCTATAACTAACCCCACTAAATTAAAACAAACTTGCCTGAACTATTCAAACTATCAACATGCACTTTAATGCTGGCTATTTCATCAAAGAATATTTTTATTTATTTATTTGATTTTCTTATTTTTTGCACGGTGGGCTTCTGAGAGATGATGCAGTGGCAGGGTGCTATCGCAGAAGAGAGGGACCCAATAAGCCAAAGAGATGTGCGAAGGAAACCTGAGGGTCTCACATTTTGAAGTTCCTTCCTTCCTGAAGTGGCAAGAGGAACCATGCAAGAACAAAATGACAGGAGATGAGGCTTTGGTGGAAATACTGTCCATCAGTCTATCATGCTGGTCTTTATAGCAATCTGTGATGCCGTTTTCTCAAAGGACATGTCAGTGATAAATAAAGGAAAAGTATTGGATGCAGTACATTCATTAGAAGCTCAGCAACTTCTGGTGGCACAAGGAGTCTATTGCATCAGGCCAAAGTGCAAGGCCAAGGCCGAGAAGGAGAGTCCGAAATTCAAATTCAGTTCACAATGCCCTGATTTCTCAGAAAAAAAGACTGACAGAAAAATAGAATTGCTCTGGGGGCCTACTGGTTATCAAAAACTCAACAAAACCAAGAAACGATATTGGCACAGAGACTTCCAGAAAGAAATACCATCAATGAAATGTAAAGGGGACAGTTTTGTAGCAGTCAAGAGATTCATCCCCACATATTTTGGAAGACTGATAAAAAGTGACGGTTGAAGACCACTTCAGATAAAACTCTGCCATCTACTGGAAGAAGTCCAAATGTTCAACAAAACCTCAATAATATCTTCATCCATGTAAGAATATTTCTCTAAAACTTTCCTGAATCAGTTGAAATAAAGTAAAAAGAAGAAAGACTGTTACAAATAAAAACTGGACATATTGCGAAATATCAGGGCATAGTTTGCAAGGCAAAGTCTAGAAAGGTTGGCCAGAAGCCACCATCCACTGTGCAAAGGATGAACCCATGCAAGGATACAGCAGTTGTTTAGAGGAACTGTGCTAGGTTAATTTAGGGAGGTATTTAGCCTTTGGATGAGGTGCCCTGATGCTACAGTCAGAGCGGGACTGCTGCCGGGTGTCTCTGGGGTCATTCCATGTTGCCACTGTCTGAGTGGGAGATATTAAGGGTGTTTGCGGAGGGGAACAGGTCACGTTGATCGGTGGGACTGTGGTAGTCAGAGGTCAAGTCGGGTTCCAGCAGGGACGACAGGGTGAAGTGGGACGAGCCCTTTTTCAGGCACTGGGAGTAGAAGTTTAGGAGCAGGTCCAGCTTATTTTCGATTGACTGCACCTGAGAAGGGAGAAAAAAAAGAAGAGATTGTAGTCAAGCTACAAAAAAATCTAGTGTTATTTTATGACGATCCGATAATGTTCAGGAAAATTAGTTTGGAATATTATTAAATATCAGCAGTTTTCAAAACCACAACTCTATTATGTGAAACACAATGGGCTGCAATATAAACAGGTGATGAATTACTGCCATAACAAGTGAAAGCTAAGCAAACTAACACTGAAATACTAAAGATACCTTATAAAATTAATAATAAATAGCCTCTAAAAAACTTTTTTGATTAGATGCAAAACAAGATTTGGTAGTGATAGGTAGTTGAATCTCAATTTAAATTAAAATGAACTGAAATTCATTTACCTGTATTTATTTAAATACACTACCATTTAAAAGTCTGGAGTCAGTATGATTTTTTAATTAATACTTTCATTATTTAAGGATTTTTATTCATACTTTTATTATTTAAGAATTGATAAAAATGACAGTAAAATCAGTTATAATACACAGAAGGTTTCTATTAAAAAACTGTTTTTAAATTAGCTATTTAAATCATGATGTACAAAATAAGATAATATAATATATCACAGAGCAAAACAGTTTACAACATTGATAATAAGAAATGTTTCTGGAGCAGCAAATCAGCATATTAGAATGATTTCTGAAGGATCATGTGACACTGAAGACTGGAGTCATGATGCTGAAAATTCAGCTTTGCATAATATTAGACAGACAGACAGATAGATATGAATATTCATAGATTACCTGCTTCTCCACTTTCACCACGCGCCCCATCATGCTTAATTCGTCCATCTGTTCCAGTTCAGGAGGAGTTTTCTCCCCTTTTTCAGGCCTCACTTTTTTATCTGATGAAATGGTACCTCGGCCTATGATCTGATCCACCCTTAAAAGCAAAACAAAAACAAAAAATTAAATGAGACTTATTAGGAAATGCTTTTGTGTTAGGCGTAAAAGCTGATGGTAGGAATGATGGCTTGTCTGAATTTTATTTCTACTGATCAAACCTTGTCTGCAGGCTTTTGATTCTGCCCAGCATATCGAGGTGTCCAGCTGAATATTGCTCAATCACATCTTTCACATCATAAGGCCGCAGGGTTTCTTTAAACTTCCTCTTGGCCACCAGGAATTTAAGAATCCTACATTCACGTGAGACACAAAAGCACATTAGAATGATCCGGAATCTAGGCAGAATGACGTAGAAGCCTCCATGGCATTACAGGAAAAGATAAAACAGGAATACTGCAAACAGCTGTGAAACGAGAAGTGAAACAAGATTAATTACAGAAAGAGGCCTTATCAATTACATGAGTGACTCATAAACAGTCAGCACAGAGAGAGAGAGAATACATCCCCCACCTCACGGCTGGTAATTATTCTGAAGATGACACCCTCTTTACACAGAGGGAAAGCGTGTGCGTGTGTATTGTGTAATGTAACCTCCTAGGAACACGGGGAAAAAAATGGGAATTTCTTCCACGTCACTGTACTGTAGTGTTTGAAGCATAAGTTAAACAATCTTAAAAAACAGATTTATGCCTTATTGTGTGTACTCTCTAGAGGACAATCAAGACAACTATTTAGAAAATGAAGAAAAAAGACAATTGTACAGTTATTGATTTTTATTATTATTATTTTCAAATTATGCTTTTTCACAAATCAATTGAAGCTAATTTTATTTTTTACTCTCTCCCCTAAAACTTTGATATCCTAAAAATGTCAGGTTTAAAATATAACAAACTGTTTTGTACAAACACTAATTTTCTGTTTTATTACACAATTTTAAAATGGGTGTTGCCTATCTAAAACATACTGTCCAATTATTAGGCAACATGTCATACAAAAATGAATGTTTTTTTAATCTTCTCATATGTTGTAGTGTCTCACTTAAAGGTCAAAACCTATGCACAATAGTTGTGATGTCCCCTGCTGTGGACATGTATAAAAATGAAAGTTAATGTTTTTTTTTGGTAAAAGACACTCTTTGAAAAGTCACCAAAATATTCCTAAAATGCTTATTTACAATAAATAGCTTTAAACACCAATCAAACACAAATTCCAAATATTTCCAATATAATAGACCGACGGTTAATATTCTATTTATTTTTTAGGGTTTTTTTGTGATGCGAGGAGAGGAAATTGTCATGACCCAAGACTTCTCTTTACAATTCATCAGGACAGTGGCATCGGTGGTGTCATAGATTCAAGAACAAAACATTTTCCTACAGGACAAAAAAATATATATGCACCCTTATGATAATTCAGTAAATCTCTGAGACTGTTTGTAGGCACGCTGAAAAAAATGATTCATTGAATTTACTAAATTTTTTTAAGGTAAGTGGTTGCAATCAATTTATTTTAGCTACATTTAAATAAACGGGGGGGTTGGATTCTTCGAGCTTGGAAAGAATTCTTCTAGTGCTGGTTAATTCTACATACTCAAGAGGACTATTTTTTTTAAAAGAGCCATTGTTTCGCAGGAACAGCTTGCGCGTGCAACAGCAAATGTTGAGCTGTGCATCTCTGCCCGGGTGATGGTGCAGTTTCAGTCGGATCTCAGAAGAAGTCCACAGCTGGTCCACAGCACACGTCAACCTCCCCCAAGTTTCTTGATGACTCTAGAGTTTAGGCTTTTTGCTGTCTGTATATGTATTTTTTTCATCTTTTAATTTTGCAGGTAGCTGCATATTTTGCCAGGGCGGGTCTCAGGTGTGGATAAAAGAGAGGGTAAGGAAAAAGAGAAGGAGCGAGGGAATGAAAAAAGAAATCCCATTTATTTCCATCCTCCAAGGGTTTCCTTAAAATGCTGACTTGCTCACTTGATGGCAATGCACTGTATGGGTGTATCAATTATATGGTCAGCTTTAGAATACCCCAGTCCACAGAAGCATTTGAGATGGAATCTCTAAGAATAGCTGCGTGAACAAATATCAGCCTTCATAATTTATCGGAGGTAGGGATAAATGCAAAATAACATTCAAACACACAGGAATTTTTAAATGAAATATTTTGAGAATAGAAAATCTTTTTTGTGATCAAGCAGACCTAATTCATGGCAATCATTTGAACGAGGTGTGCTCACCCAAAACCAGGAAAATAAATTACATAAAATAAAATAAAATATTAAATTTTAATAATTATTACACTATAAACTGTGCAGAAAGTAACTCAAAGTTTATTTGAGGGAATTGAAAGCTGGTTTTAGAGCATTCTACGTTCTTCTGTCCTAAGCCTGAATAGTACGCTGTACACATTTGTGCATCAGAACATTGATAAACTGTGGGCCTTCCACAAAAGTGAAACCTCAGCACTGTGGTGAAGCTAAAATGTACCCCTTCCTTAAAGACATCAATCTTATTGAGGGCTCTTATGTAAAACACAGAATCTTCTTGCCCAGATAACAGGAAATGATGCACCTGTGAGGATGTACACACCTGGAGCTCTGCTTTGAGAATCTGTTTGGCCAATGCGACCTAATCACCCATGGTATACTGGTCAGGACAAAAGGCTAGAAGATGAGATTGTTCTCAGAAAGTGTGACATTCACAGGTGCAGTATGGTGAAGTAAGGTGAAAATATGAGATTTATGCATTTCTACATATGGGTGATCCTTCAAATATATGCACGTTTTTGACTCCTCGAAATCCTGAAAAATGAAACTTCTTTAAACTGTTTTTTTTTTTTTTGTTAAAACATTTATCACATGTCCTGTTATAAAGATCTGATAACGGCCTGAACCTTTAACTGAATTTTGGCATAATATGTTACTATACTTGTGATGCTGATGACATGTAATGACGTTTTTCATATTTACTTTTGACATTTACATTTAAAGTGACTCACATTTGAGCTACAGGAATCTATAGGACAAATTATTATTAGGCTAGAGTACAAAGTAGAAATTCTCTAATTTTAACATTTAAAAATGCTTTACATGGAATGTTGTTTTTCTCATTCAAGAAGTCGTTTCACTTGGATAAACGACACAACAGGGGTGAAAAGATGATCGCAACTTTCTTTTCATGCTAATAAACATGTTAATAGGAAAATTAAGGTAATTAACAGTGTCTACAACACTACAAAATACAGCTATTAAACGTCAACTCTAGTGGTGAAGATGGTAAAGTGCGTACTGCAGTCTTTTTGATGTGACCAACCAGGGTTCGAACCCGCCTTTTGCCGAACCTTTTTTCCTCCCTTTCAAATCACATCAGAGAGGCATTTATTTTCAATAAAAATGAAGGAAGTAATCAAAAAGTTGAAAGTAGAGTATCGGGTAGGGTTAGGGTAGGTGTAGGGAGGGCTTTATTGTCCCAACAAGGTGGCATCCATTTAATAATTTGAATTGAAATGATCATTTACACTCAATACGTTATTATTGCATACTGTTTTATAATGTACTACAATACCGAGGTGCAGGTAATTGTCACTATTTGCAAGTAGTATAAATAGCAGGAAATCCTGCTATTTTAACAGTGTAAATAGAATCTAGCTATTTGCACTTAGTATAAATAGCATATCGCTAAAAAATACTGCTATTTTCACTTAGTGTAAATAGAATCCATTGCTATCTATTTACACTTAGTGCAAATAGCTGCTGCCTAAATAAATATTTCAATACCCTTCAAAATTAGACAAAAATGCTCTAAGCTATTTCCATTTTTAAAACAGAATGACTTTTTAAAGAATTTTTCTTTAAATTCATCCATGTGGACAACAATGTCCCCCTAACTGAAGAATCACTCATAACATCCTGTACTCACTGAACTAGGAGCTCGTGCTGCACTGACCAATCATAGAGAGGCCACTCGCTTCTCAGGAAGAACTTTACAATATTTTTAGAACATCTTCGATTACTTTCTGCTTGTTTAAGCAAGAAGTAGGAACCACAACCGAAGGTTGCCATGCCCTCTATGAGTCTAACCCCGCTTTGTCTTCATAATGGTCAACTGACGTAATTGCACCGTGAAAAGGTCATGGCTGACGGAGCAGATTCTATACTAAGGTCCCTTTTGCAAAAGACCAACTGTTCATTCAAACTGAATGGCATGCATGGTGACATTATCTAAGAATATTTGGTCATTAAGTGAACTATAGGACTCTGAAGAGCTATGTGGTGGTGTTTTCAACCCCTGACTCACCTAACAGCACGAATAAGGGTCTTTACTGCTGGTATCACATCCTCCATGGCGACATCACAGTAAGATTTGTCCTCTGTGTGCTCCTCTCCTACTCCCTCCACTATGAGAGATCAGTCCGTAATGAGAAGAGCAAAATGTACACTACAGTTTAAAAGTCAGTATGATTTTATTTTTTTTTAAAGAAATGTATACTTATATTTAGCTCAAAGACTCGTTAAAAGTCAAAATTATATGGCAAATAAATTATGTTCTTTTGAACATTCTATTAATTAAAGAATGTTGAAAAAATGTATCACGTTTTCCACAAAAATACAGCACAACTGTTTTAAACATTGATAATATTAAGAAATGTTTTTGAGAACCAACTCCATAGGATCATGTGACACTAAAGACTAGAGTAATGGCTGCTAAAAATTCACTTTCCCATTAAAGGAATAAATAGCATTTTTAAATATATTCAAATTGAATACAGTTATTTTAAATTGCAATAATATTTCCACAATATTGCAGTTTTTACTGTATTTTTGATCAATTAAATGCAATCTTGGTGAGCATAAAAGACTTTGAAACAACATTGAAAAATCTTTCCGACCTTGAACGTTTGAACAGTAGTTTATGTATGTAAATATGTATTTGTATAAAGTTAAACATGTGGACAGAGATAGCTACCATCTGCAGCGGGGCGTGGTTTTAGGCGGAGAGAGGTACGGAATCGAGTCCGATCATTGAAGCTCCAACTCTTCTGGACCTTGCCGGGGCTGGTGGCTTCAGGAACGTTCTCCGTGCTGGGGGAACGCTGAACATTACCTGGGGGTAAAGGAGAAGCCTTGCTCCGGATAGCCTGAGAGGAGCGTGAATTGTTCATCCTAATGCGGTCACGGAAGCCCATCTTCCCACTGGCAAGAAAATTAGAGGAATGATCTGATTTGGTGACAAACAAGGAAATTAATCTTTTCCCAACATGTTCCATAATGTAAAACATTTTTTCAGAGACTATGTTTGCTTAGGTAAGAATACATTTCAACGAAGACAAACAGACAAAAGGGTTAGAAAACAGACAGATCTATCAACAGGTGATTAGTTTAATTTCCATGGTAATGTTGACACCACACAGAAGGAAAATGTTGCCCTGTGTGAGCGTCACACAATTTCATGGTTTACAAGAAAAAGAAGTCCAGATTTACCTACATTTTAGACCAGGGGTGCCCAAACTCGGTCCTGGAGGGCCGGTGTCCTGCAGAGTTTAGCTCCAACCCCAATTAAACTCACCTGAACCAGCTAATCAAGCTCTTATAGGCATACTAGAAACTTACCAGCAGGTGTGTTGAGGCAAGTTGGAGCTAAACTCTGCAGGACACCGGCCCTCCAGGACCGAGTTTGGGCATCCCTGTTTTAGACAATATCCTAACATTTAAATATTGTCAGGACAGCTTGTGCTAACTGGAAAACACTACAAAAACAATTTTCTAAGTATTGTCTTTTTTTTCCACTAAAAAATAATCATCTTTAAAACAAGATTTTCAAGATCTCTGAATTTTTTCTTACTCCATTTAGTTTTCTCTGGTTTCAAACATATTTTCAAGACAAAATTAATGATTTTTGCAGTGCATCACTTTCAATAAAAGGATCTAGTATCACACTAGCTTGTTACTTCCTCAACTGAACAAATTTTTAGAATGCATGAAAATGTTTATTTGTATTATTATTTAAAAAGTTAAGAAAACATAGCAGATACTGAGCTTAATGTCTTGAGTTGAATGAGGGGTGATGGTGTATTAACCTGTAGCATGCCATCAAAAGGAGCAACGGTAGAAATGCAAGAGCACTCTTTGAATCCATGGAACCAAGCACAAGCATGCGGAAGTAGGTATTTCTAGCTGAAACATTTTGTTAACCAAACTAAACCCATAACTTTATTGAAAATAATGACATTTCAAAAAAATTCAAATAATTGATGAAAACATGCTAGAAAGTAAGATTTTCTACAGTCCTAGTCATCATTTCAGCTTTTCACAAGTCGCTTAACCCCCGCAATATTGTCATTCTAAACCCACTTTCAATGTTTCACACTTGAAATTTAGAAGTGGTGTCAGCACCACTTTTACCCGTATGAACCCCTGCTCTGGAGCAGGTTTAGCAAACGTGCAGAGTGTGAAACGATTCGGTGTTCGAATGTTATGACAGCCAATCACGTGCCTCATTTTCATGTGCTTTGGACAGTCATGAAAATATTGCGCGTTGTATAAACAGTCATCTCAGAATTTGAGGGGAAAATATTGAATGGTGACGGAAAACGCGTGAATTGGAGTGAACAAGAGACTATTCTATTCTTACCGTTATAGTCCGAAAGGTGCATTCTGAATAAAAATTGATAGTAATCTGCCTATTGAATGAGGATGCGCAATTCTAGAGCATTTACGTAAACAGGTCACGTGCTGCGTTGTTTGTTTAATAAATGACACAGACACAGCAAATAAGAACGTTATCCCAGGGTTGAGGAATGTACAGTGTGAAACCTCTTTTTATAAATACCCATGATTAATTGTTAACCCCAGGTAAATTATGAGCATTGTGAAACATGAAGCAACATAACCAAGGGTTAGAATGACCCAGGGTTAATTATTTCACGTGTGAAAAGACTTGAATTAAAATATTGTTTCAATCTCATGCACATAGAGGTCACAAACCTCATGCACACTGTACTTCCTTTGTCAAGAGCAGAATTTAGCAACCCGCAAATCTACATAAGATTACTTCTAGCATACAAACACATGCTTAAACACATTAAAATATATAAAGATCTCAGTCTAAGCATGACTCGTACATGCAGACCTCTCCTACAAAATGTTTAACAGCTCTGTCTCAAGAACTTTAGATTTTCCTGCATCCAAATGCCATTAGTGATTAAGCCTCGTTAAGTAAAAGTGACATGCATATCGAAATAAACCATGAAGAAAAGTTATTCAGGTTTTTAATTACACCCGGCCGCATGGTTTATCTTTGCTCTGTGAGCTCATGCAGGCCTCATCTGTGTGCATTCAGCAGAGATATACAGTACTCTGCTCTCTGGTCAGCCTCTCACAGATTAAAGGGCAGATTACTGAGATTATTGAGCTAGTGCAGCCTTTGTCTTTCACACTTTACAAGGAATGTAATCCAGTCACGATGACTATGAATTTCTCTTCACACAAGGCATTATGAATCTCCCAGAATGGGTCGAGCTGCACTGGATCAGTAAGGCTCAGAGAGTTTCAGGCATCAGGGGTGAGACGGATCGTGCCCAGTGTGCACAGGCACATCACACATGGATACCTCTGCTTACTGCCAGTATGAATCCGGAAGAAACCCCTCTTTTTAGATATGAGCTGACTGAAGAGACACACAAGGCAGAGGGAGGGATTTGTGAGGGGTCGTGAGGGTTAGTCAGCTGTGCCGGGTGTTACACTTGTTTTTTGTGTGCATTTGCAAGAGATTGCAGGGCAAACGTTTACGTTTCATATGCAAGTATGTAATACAACCCAAGTAGATGATGTTCTTGTAAGCGGAAATTGATTAATCTCTCTCTGTTAGTTTAGCTTAACATAAAAACTTAAATTCAGATTTTAAATGGAAATGAATAATTCATCCAAAAACGCAAATTCATTCCTCTTAATTTCAAATATAGTATGACTTTCTTTCTTCTGTGGAACACAAAAGGAGATGTTTTGATAAATTTCCTTGCTGCTTTTTCCTATACAATGAAAGTCAATGTGGACTCCCTGTTGAAAAAAACAGCATATGCTGGTTAGGTATGTTTTGAACCATGGCTGCTGGTTTGAGCTGGTTTAAGCTGGTCCTAAGCAACTAGCTCCTGCTCAGGACCAGCACATGACCAGCTTAAACCAGCACATGACCAGCTAAGGACCAGCTTAAACCAGCTCAAACCAGCAGCCATGGTGCAAAACATACCTATATGCTGTTTTTTTCAACAGGGCTGGGCGGTCAAGCTCTAAAAATTACAAAACACATAAAATAATTGCATAAAAGTAGCCTAATATATGCTATATTTCAAACCATAATATACAACTTTGTGTGAGGAACAGGCCAAAATTTAAGCCGCTAACTACTTAAATATTTATTTTCATCCATGTATTCGAATCTCATAATGACTTACATTTTCAGAAGACTTGGAATATAGCACATAAGTTGTATGAACCACTGTTATAGTGCTTTCTTTTTGTTTTCTTGACAGCTCCAGCCCCCATTTACTCTTATTGTAAATATTGCTTAATATCTCTTTCTGTGTTTCACAGATGAATGAAAATAACACAAGTTTGTAGCAACATCAAGCACATAACATGCACTTCAAAACAAAGTGTAACTCAGTAATAAGCGGAGAAATAAGTGTTCCTTGAGAAAGGGTCGGTGAGCTCACACACATTCAGGATTCAGGATCAGCACTTGCAGCCTTTCAGCACATCTCTGCTTTTTTTTTTTTGCACTGAAATGAAAAACTGCCCCAGGATCAGTTGAAAGGGCTACAACATGTGCAACTTATAGGGGTGAAAGGTAATTCAGGAAAAGTAGAGTGAGAAAGTCGAGGCAGGCAGGGATGGCGTGGCATGCAGATACTGGCATGTGAGGTTATTCGATTAGATTTCAATGCATCTGAATGCAGCCGGACCATCGTTGCATCTTAGACCCAGTTAATTTGTATCATCGTCACTCTAAACAAAAAGCACCTCAAACTGTAAACACAGCACGGCCAACGACGCTTCCCATTGGGCGAAATACAGTCCTCTCAAAAGCCTACCACAAACCTGCATGGAATGTCTGTCCTCCTGAAAACGTGAATGGATGGAGTGATGGCAGAGAGATGAGGAGGAGAGGAGGAGAATGGAGAAGTTGAACGAAGAGGTATGAAGATGGGTTGTGAGACACACTGAAAGGTCAAAGGGTAAAGTGATAATGCTCACACACAAATGTGTGCAGGAATTAACACACACACATATACACACACACACACACAAAGGCCATTGTACCAAAGACCAGCATCAGATATGTGATCAACCATGGAGATTTTCAGTTATAATTAAATACTATTTAACTTTTTACCCTCAAAATTCAAAACAATCTACCATAAATCAAATTGTACAACTTCATCACATATCTGATAAATCTTTCAATGTCCCAGTATAGATGTGTATTAGTATCAGCACAAAAAACAAGACAAGCAAACACAGAAAGGCACACAGAAAACACAAAAAGAAAAACTACTGCAGCCGCATTAACCGTAGCTTATTGGAGTGTCAGGTGTTGAACTTCCTGTAAACAACTTACATATTGACGAATGCTTTAAGTAATGACCTGAGACTACACTATGGTATGCTAGTACTGTATGTGAATTTAACTGGATTACTGTAAATTGCAGGGAAGAGTTAGTGTCCTCTAGGGAGAGAGTTCAACTGGACAGTGTCGTACCTGTCCCCAGACAGGTAGGGGGAGCTATACGGCCGGAGCCCCGACAGCAAGGTGTGGTAGGAGTTGTGAAGAACCTTCTTGGTGCTACGCTGCCGTTGGAGGTGACTGAACAGTAATGTCAGTTCTCTGACCCACAAGCAAAAAATAAAAATAATAAAACATGATAAAGAAACAAAACAAAACAAAAAAGAAAAGAAAACAGGAGCCAAACAAACAAAAGACTAAAAACAAAATGGCAAATTAACCATCAAAACACTTTAAAAAGACAGGGGCAATTCATTTTAAAAAACATTTAGATTTTACGTCAAAGCAATGTTAAACAGAAATACAAACTTCCCTGTCATTTTAAATTAATGATAATTAGTCAGATTAAGTCATACAAAGAAGAATGCATGTGGGATAAATATTATTAAGGGAAAAATAGAAATACATTATGAACAATCCAAAAATGTGGAACACTGAGATGCTTTATAAAAGGAATTAAATCATATATTGAATACCAATTATTGAACCAAAACATTGTAAAATTGTGAAAAAAATGTGTTAGTTTCAAAAATATTTTACATAGGATGATCTTTATGCACTGTAGAATTACTTCTTATTGTTTAATTAGTGTTATGTCTACAAATGTGACCCTGGACCACAAAACCAGTCATAAGGGTCATTTTCTCAAAAATTGAGAAAATCTGGAATGAAAAAAAATGTTGGAATGCAAAATGCAAAAAAAAAATCTAAATACTGAGAAAATCGCCTTTAAAGTTGTCCAACTGAAGTTCTTAGCAATGCATACTACTAATCAAAAATTAAGTTTTGATATATTTACGGAAGGAAATTTACAAAATATCTTCATGGAACATGATCTTTACTTAATATCCTAATGATTTTTGTCATAAAAGAAAAATCGATCATTTTGACCCATACAATGTTTTTTTGGCTATTGCTAAAAATATACCTGTGCTACTTATGACTGGTTTTGTGGTCCAGGGTCACAAATATGTATAAATCTCTAAAACAAATTAAGATATAAGACTTGTTTTCAGAGAAAGTATAAAATGCTGGTTACAATTTCTATTTCTCCAAATTTTTCATCCCACATTAACTGGGACCAAAATGAAATCTCACGTAACTCATGAAAACTCATGTCATAATCTTTGCTTTCAGTACATGCAAAAATTTATGTTGCTGATGAATAAAGCAAAATGATAAAAGGAACTGCAAAACTATCAATTAAATCACGATTTCTGGGTCAAAGTACCACTTTTAATTAAAGTGAAAGGGATTTCATAATAACACTGTGTGCGTGTGCAGGGAGGATTCATTGACTGTGTGCTTATCATCAATAAAATATTGTTTTCTCAGAAACTCGGTTATAAATCAGTTTGACTAATGCTATATATGGGATATTTTGAACCCCTTCGTTTTGAAATCATGACCTCGAAACGGCAAAGCCACCTGTCAGTCATATCAGTTAGACACAAGACCAGTTCAATTTGCACGGCACAGATAAGCATCTCCGCGGAGGGCTCTGTTACAGGTCATACTTACCTGAAGGACGGCAGCATACTGTCATAGAAATACCAGGTGGCTGTGAGATATGAGTGCTGAGCATCTGTAGAGTAGAGACGCCATGCAGCCTGGGGAGACAACACGATACAGCGCGGCACAAGATGACACACACAGACGTACATGTACACAACACACACAACATGCACGTATTTGGATGTGGAAATAGAAATCATGACTGTATTCGCGGCAGGTGTGTTGCTGACTGAGCAGTTACCTGTATGAGGTTGGCAGCGGGAGTCCTCCTCTTCTCAAAGTGTTTCTGCCGGTGCTGCTCCTGCACTTTCAGAGCAAAACCTGAACCCAGGATGCCCTTACAGAACGGACAGGGGACCATTAGATGGTTTGAGATCGGTGGGAAAAGAAATGTCAACGGCCTAAAAATCGACGGCAGTACTTACAGCCGGCAGGGCAAAGAAGGACACCCCCAGCAGGGCAAAACAAGCCGCTAAAAGACGACCTTGCCAGGTGTGTGGTGTCTTGTCACCGTAGCCGATCGTAGTGAGGGTGATCTGGGAAAAACAGTGGAGGTATAAATAACATACAATACAAATAATGCTTTTTCCACCTAATTTCTACATTTCTAAATCACAAAACATGTCAATGGTTAATCAGTGTGAAATGCATTGTAAGGTCAGGAAAATCAACAAGTAAAACACAATTAGCAAAATCTATGTAAAAATTAACGGTTATTTGAAAAGAAAAGCTTAAGGCAGTGGCAGTAACAAAAAACGAAAATACTAAATATTTTAGTATAACTGAAATAAAACTAATATGAATAAAAATGAATAAACTTAAATAATAAAAATACATGTAAAATGAATGACTCCAAAACGAACTAAAATATAATAAAATGACAGCTTTTATACAGCTTTTTAATAGATTATAAAACCTTTACAACCTACCTGCATTGAACATGAAAATTCTACTAGACAGCAATAATAACATTAGAACTTTGACCATGAACCATAAAAACATTTAACACATTAACTTAAATGCAAAAAACACTAAATAAAAATATGAAATTTACATTTCTGAAGAACTATAATACCCCTGACTTGAGGCCCACTGTGTGCATGTAGGCGTGATGCTTCTAAAAATCGTTTCTAACTCAGCAGAATAGATTCAGGGTATTATTCAGCAATCAGTCTATTAGAGGCAGAATTATAATCCCAGTAGAAATCACACAAAATAGCTGCAACATCAATTCCCACAAAGCTATTCTGAGCCAGGGAACTGACTGAGAGAACACATCTGACAGCATCGACACGGGTCATTAGTTCAGTCGAGGGCAGTACTTACTGTACCCCACCAGAGGGAGTCAGCATAAGTGGAAAACTCTTGGTTATCCTCCTTCTCAGCCAAATAGACCAAGAACGAGGCAAAGATCAGTACCAGGAAGCCAATGTACCAGGCTGTGATCAGCTCCTGAAACAGAGAGGGAAGTTAAAAAACAAAAAGTGGACAATGGAAAGCTATAAAAAGAGTATTTCAGAAGATTTTATAATACTTAATTGGAGAACTTTGTATTGTATTGGATTATGTATATGTTTTATAAGTTAAATCATGGTTTAAACAAATGTCACAATGACATTATATTGAATCATCCTGTGATGGATTAGCATGTGTGGCGTCACCTTGCTGTGAGCGTACACCACAGAGCCCAGCAGCTTCCAGGTTCCTCCCCGGCGGTCCATGCGCACCATGCGCAAGATCTGCAGAAAACGCATGCTGCGCAGAGCAGATGTGGCGAAGATGTTTCCCTGTGTGCCCGCTGCTATCACTGCCAGCGACGCCACAAAGACAATGAAGTCTACAAAATGAAAAACCATAGATGACAAGAACAAACAACAGAAGAAGAGAAACAAAGAAAATAGGATATTTAAATGTGTATATTTAAAAAATATTTAAATGCATCTTATTTCACTAATATGGGGTAACAAACAATCTTTTTTTTTTAAGGGGCACCACTTTAAAAAAAAAAGCCATTTCTTTTTGAAAGACATCTACTGATGTCATTTATGTTAATTGTGCAATGGGTTAAAATCTCAGCCTATTGTACATTGATATCTATACACACTACTGTTCAAAAGTGTGGGGTCAGTAACATTTTTCTTCCTTAAAAGAAATTAATACTTTTATTCAGCAAGGACATAATAAATTGATAAAAAGTGATAGTTAAGACATTTACAATGCTACAAAAGAGACACATTAAATTGATAAAAAAGCGATAGTAAACACATTCACAAAGTTACAAAAAATTTCGGTAACACTTCAGTATAGACCAATTCTATATCAATCAATCATGATATCAATCAGTCATATTGGCTGCTTATTACTTATAATTCATCATGACATATTCGTCATGACCATATTCTTTATCCCTAATCCTACCCAATACCTAAACTTAACAACTACCTTACTAACTATAAATAAGCAGCAAATTAGGAGGGAGTTCATTGAGGCAAAAGTCGTAGCTAATGGTTTGTTAATCGCGAGAATTGGACCTTACAATAAAGTCTGACCAAGATTTCTGCTTTACAAAAATGCTGTTTTGAAAATTTTTTGATACTTTTTAAAGTATCAAAATGTCCTGAAAGAAAAATGTATTACAGTTTCCACAAATACATTAAGCAGCTCAGCTGTTGTTAACATTGAAAATAAATGTTTCTTGAGCACCTTATCAGCATATTAGAATGATTTCTGAAGGATCATGTGACACTGAAGACTGGAGTATGCTGAAAATTCAGCTTTGCCATCACATGAATAAACTACATTTTAAAATATTTCAATATTTTTACAGTTTAACTGTATTTTTGATCAAATAAATGCAGCTTTGGTGAGCATGAGAGTGCTTTTCAACATATATGAAGACAATCTTACCAGTAGAATAAATCTGAACAGTAGTGTACATTTGTTGTATATAAAAAAGCTTTGACCTTTTAATAATAACTCCTTTTGTGTTCCAGAGTAAAAAAAAAAACTCTATGTATGTCTCGATAAAGATGACTGTGGGTAGATGATGACAGAATATTTAGGAGAAACCTGATTGGACTGACTAAATTTAGACACGTGAATGGTGTTTTCTGCCATAGATCTTTATACAAACACTTTTTGTTCCCCCTCACATGGTGCTTCTGATCTCAGGCTCCAGGTCTTTACCTATGACGCAGAAGGGCTTTCTGGCGAACCGTAGCCGACCCTGCCATCCTCTGTACCGACAGCAGCATCCGGCTGCCCAGATCCTAACAAAGTACTCCAGCCCAAAAACCACGATCATCACAAACTCCTGCAAGTCAAACGACATTAAATCAAAGTCATACCTCTTAATAATGTCTGTCTTGTACTTTGAATATGGTAGTAAATATATCAAAATAGCAATAAAAACACTGATGACTGATCATGTTCTGCCAGTAATCTATAAATATAAAAATAAACTACCTGGCAGTAAAGACTAAAGTACTAGACTGGTCAAATACCTCTAATTCATTAAACATGAGAGATTATGGGAGTTATCATTTACGCTAACTCAAATGACTGCTTCTCTTCCTGTTGAAGATGCCACAGACAGCTTGGATTCACAGAGGCCCGCGCTAAATGCTTGCATTGATTACAGATCCTGTAGTGGCACCTGCGCTCTCAATGTGAACAAACACATTACAGACTGAGTAAAGTCAATACCAGAACTTGCATGATAGACAACATAGTCCTTTCCTGAAGGAGACCATTAAATGGAAAAAAACTGGGAGAGAAAGTCGTGTGAGAGGGAAAGCACTTCATACTGAATGAGTGATTATAGAATTGCAGCTAAGATTATTGGATGGAGTCGGCTACTTCTTGCATACTCGACAACACCTGAATCCTGCCGTGTGCTTACACTGCCATTTCCCAGAGCAAAGATCCCAGCGAAAAACAAAATGCACACTTAACGCAGCCACAGGGAGACATGAGACAGTACAAGAATGCTTACCGTGTGCCAATCAGATGAGAAATGAATCCGGCCTGAGATGCTGCTAAAACGGTAATGAAAATAAGGCCTAATCATTTGCAAAATGTCTTTCCTTGCAGTTATAAAGTGAGCAAACGCTCCCCTCATGTGTTATAATGGAGCCGTATACAGAACACTGTTAATAGTTTATCATACTAAATAAAGTTCGCAATCCCTCAAGATGGACGGCACACAGAACATGCTTTAGCAAAAAGCCTTATAATGAATTAATAATAATTTGTAGCTACAAAACTTTCTACTGCACATGTACGCGTTTATGCTTACGAAGGATTTCAGAACAATACCGGCTGGACTAATAAAATAAACTTCTTAGTAACACAATAGACAGCAAAACAGGCTTGCATACATGGCACATTTGATCCATAAAGCTGGCAAACAGAAAAAAAGACCCAATTCACCTTTTTTGAAGACACACCTCAAAAAAAGATATACGGACTGCGATTGGATGGACTAACAGCCACAGAGAAAGCCCTGTGCGATTAATTATTCAGATGATGTGCTATTATGAATGTATTTAGAGACGCGCAGACAATGTGGATGCTGTTTAGTGAAGGTACTTAGACAGATCGGACAGTCCACGCCTGCCAATTTTCTTTAAACTACAATTTTGGATATAAAACACAGGAATGAAGTCAAACCATTTGCTCTACAGGTAAGAGAGAGTCAGTGGATTCATCTGAATGCAATTCAATAGATATGAAACAATGTATCAGACTTAAACCTGTCTGGAGATGATCAAAGAGGTAGATTCATTCAGTAATTAAGAAAAAAAGAAACAATTTTTCATGTCTACTTTTGTGATTATTGCATTTATTCAAAAATATTTGTTATACTTGCATTGCTAAAGGATTAGTTCACCCAAAAATGAAAATTCTGTCATCATTTACTCACCCTCATGTCATTCAAAACCGGTAGCCATTGAATTTACCCAGTATTTTTTTTTTCCATAGAATGGAAGTTAATTATTAAAGTCAACTGTTTGGTTGCCCAAATTCTTCTAAATATCTTCTTAAAAAAATAAAAGAAATTCATCATACAAGAGAAGACAGAAATGTCATTTTTGGGTTAACTATGCACTTTTCAGTGTATTTCAGTATTTAAATACGGAAAAATGGGTTAAATGGATCTGAGAGTACTACACTTTAATTGGTAGCTGATAGCTATATGAAATTAACCAAAATATTTAATAAATAAACATGCAAAGTGGCTGCTTCTGGCCCTGCTGGTAGATGTTGGAATTATACCATCTAGGTACAAAAAAAGCCTGGCCATTTAACATCTAAATTGCTAATATTTGATTATAGTAGATTTTTTACAGTGACAAATGTTTTTTAAGAGATTTTTAAAAGCACAGGCTTAACTTTTTCCCTGTCTGCTGCCTTTGATGTTAACGCTAAGGAAAGCTGCTAGTGAAGGGTTTGGGACTGTGCTCTTGTGGTGTCATGAACCAATCAGCATTCTTATGATATAATTTCCCTAAAATGATTAGTGTTGTTACTGTTTAAGGTATAGTTTGTGTCATTTTAACCCCTTACCAGGATGAAGAGCCCCTCGTTGGCAAATGTTTGATGGTCTGGGATGGTGGAGAAAACAGAAAGCACCAGACAGCTGAACACTAGAAGAATGCTTACCGTGTGCCAATCAGATGAGAAATGAATCCGGCCTGAGATGCTGCTAAAACGGTAATGAAAATAAGGCCTAATCATTTGCAAAATGTCTTTCCTTGCAGTTATAAAGTGAGCAAACGCTCCCCTCATGTGTTATAATGGAGCCGTATACAGAACACTGTTAATAGTTTATCATACTAAATAAAGTTCGCAATCCCTCAAGATGGACGGCACACAGAACATGCTTTAGCAAAAAGCCTTATAATGAATTAATAATAATTTGTAGCTACAAAACTTTCTACTGCACATGTACGCGTTTATGCTTACGAAGGATTTCAGAACAATACCGGCTGGACTAATAAAATAAACTTCTTAGTAACACAATAGACAGCAAAACAGGCTTGCATACATGGCACATTTGATCCATAAAGCTGGCAAACAGAAAAAAAGACCCAATTCACCTTTTTTGAAGACACACCTCAAAAAAAGATATACGGACTGCGATTGGATGGACTAACAGCCACAGAGAAAGCCCTGTGCGATTAATTATTCAGATGATGTGCTATTATGAATGTATTTAGAGACGCGCAGACAATGTGGATGCTGTTTAGTGAAGGTACTTAGACAGATCGGACAGTCCACGCCTGCCAATTTTCTTTAAACTACAATTTTGGATATAAAACACAGGAATGAAGTCAAACCATTTGCTCTACAGGTAAGAGAGAGTCAGTGGATTCATCTGAATGCAATTCAATAGATATGAAACAATGTATCAGACTTAAACCTGTCTGGAGATGATCAAAGAGGTAGATTCATTCAGTAATTAAGAAAAAAAGAAACAATTTTTCATGTCTACTTTTGTGATTATTGCATTTATTCAAAAATATTTGTTATACTTGCATTGCTAAAGGATTAGTTCACCCAAAAATGAAAATTCTGTCATCATTTACTCACCCTCATGTCATTCAAAACCGGTAGCCATTGAATTTACCCAGTATTTTTTTTTTCCATAGAATGGAAGTTAATTATTAAAGTCAACTGTTTGGTTGCCCAAATTCTTCTAAATATCTTCTTAAAAAAATAAAAGAAATTCATCATACAAGAGAAGACAGAAATGTCATTTTTGGGTTAACTATGCACTTTTCAGTGTATTTCAGTATTTAAATACGGAAAAATGGGTTAAATGGATCTGAGAGTACTACACTTTAATTGGTAGCTGATAGCTATATGAAATTAACCAAAATATTTAATAAATAAACATGCAAAGTGGCTGCTTCTGGCCCTGCTGGTAGATGTTGGAATTATACCATCTAGGTACAAAAAAAGCCTGGCCATTTAACATCTAAATTGCTAATATTTGATTATAGTAGATTTTTTACAGTGACAAATGTTTTTTAAGAGATTTTTAAAAGCACAGGCTTAACTTTTTCCCTGTCTGCTGCCTTTGATGTTAACGCTAAGGAAAGCTGCTAGTGAAGGGTTTGGGACTGTGCTCTTGTGGTGTCATGAACCAATCAGCATTCTTATGATATAATTTCCCTAAAATGATTAGTGTTGTTACTGTTTAAGGTATAGTTTGTGTCATTTTAACCCCTTACCAGGATGAAGAGCCCCTCGTTGGCAAATGTTTGATGGTCTGGGATGGTGGAGAAAACAGAAAGCACCAGACAGCTGAACACTAGGAGAAAACTGAAACACAAACAAACACACATAGACTACCAGGTCAAAATACAATACAAACTGGGAGGAGTGTTGTATTTTTATTGTATTAAGTAATACTTTATTATGTAAAACACAGTTAAATTAATGCAGATTTATTATTTTATTTTTATTTTTTAATCTATACCTCAACACCTCAGGAAACAACAGCAAAAATAAAAATAAACAAATCAACAAACAAAACCACAAATATCACAGCAAAGACTGAACAAAAACTCAAAAACAAACATGTGTTCTACACATACTGATGACTACTGGCCTCTGGTGGACAGAGAAACCCACCATGACACCCCATAATCCAAGCTGGCATTCAGCTCATACACACAGATGCTCTTAATCACTGCTGTCATAGACCCCGCTTGGAAAGCCCAGCATGCCCACTCAAAATGGAGTGGATAAAAGCAGAGATTACAGCCCCACTTCCTGCCATTTCTCGGGAGCACTCAGACTCTTTGGAAAAAGGGGCCCTTTCGCAAGAACTGGGGCTCCCGGACGGCTCCAGGTGCTCCCAGCCGAAGCTTTGTAAAGTAAAAGCTGGATTCGCCCCGCGGTTCTCAGAGAAGCTCTTGGAGACCGACTGACTCTGCGCAAACAGCTGCTGCTGGGGATGATGCCAAACCGGACACATCTGGCCCGCTCATTCATACCCGCTGCCTTACTTCTCAGCTCTGCGATCTAACTGTACGAGGACTGAATGAAATTGTGAGAAAAAGTATGATGATTCAAATAGTCACAACAAAGGAACCTTGTTGCTTAAAGGGATAGTTCACCCAAAAATAAAAATTCTGTCATTAATTACTCAACCTCATGGCGTTTCAAACCCGTAAGACCCTCGTTCATCTTCGGAACACAAATTAAGATATTTTTTGATGAAATCCGAGAGCTTTCTGACCTTGCATAGGCAGCAACGCAACTACCATGTTCAAGGCCCAGAAATGTAGTAAGGACATCGTTAAAATAGTCCATGTTACATCAGTGGTTAACCTTAATTTTGTAAACTATGTCCTTACTACCTTTCTAGGCCTTGAATGTGGTAGTTGCGTTGCTGTCTATGCAAAGCAGGAAAGCTTTCGTATTTAATCAAAAATATCTTAATTTGTGTTCTGAAGACGAACGAAGGTCTTACAGTTTTGGAACGACATGAGGGTGAGTAATTAATGACAGAACGTTCATTTTTGGGTGAACTATCCCTTTAATGAGGCCCATAAGGACATTTGAAATTCAACTCCTGTGGCTTTTTTCACAATCAATTATTGATAGAAACAGTAGGTTGCTAATAGCACAAACTCTAAGGAATGAAGAGCATTACGAGACTGACAGATCTTAACGAGGAGCTGTACACTGATTCACTCAGAAAAGAGGAAGGAGACAAAGATAACATAAAAGTTAATGTCGTCCTCCAAATACAGTACTGATCATCCGCTGACATCAGAAGAGCCTATAAACACTTAAAAAAGGCCAAGGATAATAATTCACTTTCCAAAGTTTACAGTGTTTACCATCCCAAAGAATGATAAATCTGTAATCCATGCCTTCGTGTGTTGGATGGAAAAGCAGCAGAAAACAAATCTATTCTGCAAATCACGGGTGAGTGGAAACACCTGTTGTTTAAAGTAAACAAACAAGATTAATAATACATGGATTTTAGTGCTAATTTAACATGCACAAACACTTTTCAAGTGTATTTAATGGACTTGGTTTCTGGAGGCATTTTCCAAAGTTTTACGTTTAAACAGTTTCTGAAAGGTTGAAATTTCCCCCATTTGCAGTATCTGTTTGCAGTTCGGAGTGCAAGAAAAGAATTATGACTTTAAGATCAACAATTAAAAAAACTATATTTTTTAGACAGTATCTTTCTAAGTATATGTAGATTGAGAGAATGACGGGTCGAATAAAGATATATCAAAGATTATGAGAACTATTAGGGCATTGATCTGAAGTTTTAAACATGCTCCTCAAACATTCGTTATGCATAAATAATATTTTGGAAAACCAAGACTAAAAGGTCACTTCATCCCTGAACCGTTTCTGCTGAGTGTGACTCATTACTGCCAAACTAATGTACTGTATGTGAAATGATCCCTCATAAAACAACAGACTGAAAAAAAGGCCAAAAGCACTGAAAGCCAAGGCCCAGTTTCCCAGTCCTGAATCATCAACAATCTGACTGGATGGACAGAGGAAGAAAATGGCCAGAAACTGCTTAGCTGCCCCCAATAGGTTTCCATCAAAAAACGATGAACACAGTAAAAATAGATACATTACAGCATGCAAAGACCATGTGCGGCTAGCATTTCAGCTGAGAAGCAAGTTTTGAACCCAACCTCCAAGCCCAAAGTCAATCTGCCAAAAACAGAAATCAAATCCTCAAATCAGCAGAAATGATAGTCTCATGAAGTGGAAACAATGCAGTGCCACGTGTGTTTGTATTTCCTGGTAAGCACATGATTTGGCTGTAAATCATGTCGATACCATTCTCTGATGGTGTGCCCGTGTTGACAATCGGTCCAGGTTGAATTTTACACTGAAAAAAGGGTAGCAAAATATATTTTACTCAGAAATTGCTATTCAATTTCACAAAGTATTACAAAGAAACGGCAAATACACATAGAACTAAACATGAAATTCTGAAGTACAGAAAGACTAAAACTATTTTCTTTCAAAATGTACTACATCAATCTTTGTTTTATTTACAACTTTGAAAAAAAATTATACAAAATTTACAGTGTAAAAAAATTTTAATCAAGACAAATTTTACAGTGTAGGAAAAACAGTTTTCAGAAGCTAACCCATGAGAAATCAAATTCAAAGACATCAAATGGACCTTGTAAATGCAAGAAAGAAAAAAAAAACTTACTGACTCTCCTTCAAACTGCCTTTAAATTGTGATTTAAATATTTTTTGTTTCTTTTGTGCTCTTCTATTATATTATAATATAATATATATTAATAATAATTCAAATATATTTAGATACATTTCAGATATGTGACCCTGGACCACAACCAGTCATAAGGGTCAATTTTTCGAAATTGAGATTTATACATCATCTGAAAGCTGAATAAATAAGCTTTCCATTGATGTATGGTTTGTTAGGATAGGACAATATTTGGTCGAG